GCCCCCGAGCAGGCCTCGAAAGTGGCGACAGTTTTACAAATCGCAGCCCCCAGGGATGGCGAGGTCAAATTTGGATCCGCCCGTGCGGTCACTGTGCTGGGCCCCCCAGCAGGCCTCGAAAGTGGCGACAGTTTCACAGATCGCAGCCCCCCAGGGATGGCGAGGTCGAATTTGAATCCGCCCGTGGCGCCACTGCGCTGGGCCCCCTAGCAGGCCTCGAAAGTGGCGACAGTTTCACAGATCGCAGCCCCCCAAGGATGGCGAAGTCAAATTTGAATCCGCCCGTGGCGCCACTGCGCTGGGCCCCCCAGCAGGCCTCGAAAGCGGCGACGGTTTCACAGATCGCAGCCCCCCGCAGGCAAGACAGGAGGAGGCAAGAGGGAGGCGGGAAGGAAGGAAGGAGGGAAGGAGGGAGTGGAGACCACACTGCTCTATTCAAAACGAACACCCAACCAAGGAGGGTTGGGAAAAAGGAAGGGGCCACTACGCCGAGGCAGCGCTAGAGCGACGAAAACGGGCAAGCGACGCACCACGGCACCGCGAGCGAAGCAGGAGAGAGCGAAGAGGACGAAGAAAGCGAATAAAACGGGAAAACGACGAAGAGGGGGGAGAAAAAGAAACTCACGCGGCGCCCCTCAGACGCGGAGGACCGGGTTGGTGAACGCCAGGGACACGTTGCCCTCCAGGTACGCGCGCAGCGAGCGAAGCGACCGCGTGGTCTCGACCGTCGCTAGCAGCCAGACTCCGAAGGCCATGAACCTGTCAGACCCGACTGTCGAATACCGCGAACATGCGCCAACGGGCAGGAGACCCAAATGAAGGCTCGCGTCGGCGGAGAACGCGCCCGGGAAGCCCATGGGGGCGCCAGCTGCGGGCCGCGCCGAGGCACGGGGAGCTGCCCCACCAGCCGCCCTCCAAGCCGTCGCGGAACCGCAGGCGCATAGGGGACCTACCGGCCCGCGCGCCCCGGGGGGGGGCACGGAGGGCCTGAGGCGCCCTGCAGAGGGGGGGCGGCTACCAGCCACCGGAACTTCAGTTGTCTTTGATGGGGGGGGCGGCTAACAGCCGCTGAGCGGTGGAGAAAGCACAGCTGGGGCGCGCGGCCAGCCGCGGGATGTTCGGAAGAGGTTCCACCTGAGACCATCCGACGCACACCAAGGGCGCGGCCAACAGCCGCGGGCGGCAGAAAAAAAAATTCGCCTGAGACATGCCGAGGCCCAAGGGGGGCGCGGCTAACAGCCGCGGGGTGGTGGGGAACGGTTTCGCCCGAGACGTACCGGTGCCCTGTTGGGGCGCGGCTAACAGCCACGGGAAGGTGGGAAATGGTTTCGCCTGAGACATGCTAAAGCTCTGGCGCGCGGCTGACTGCCGCGGAATGGCAGGAAAGGGCCACGCCTGCATGGTCGACAGGGGCGCGGCTGACAGCCGCAGGATGGTGGGAGATGGTTTCGCCTGAGATCTGCCGATGCTCTGCTGGGCTGCGGCTGACAGCCGCGGGATGGTGGGAAATTATTTCGCCTGACACATGCTGATGCTCTGTCGGGGTGCAGCTAACAGCCGCGGAGTGACTGGAGAAGGTCTCGCCTGCGAGGTCGAGGGTGTCGGTGATGGAGGGGCGATCTGATCCAGGCTCACCTGGGGCGCGGCTAACAGCCGCGGAAATGGTGAAGTGATCAGAGTCAGATCATTGTGCCCGATCCTCCTCGTTGGGTTGCGGTTCCACTTGTCGCCCCACCTCAGCGCAGCAGACAGCCGCAGCAACGCGGAGCGGGCGTGGTGGGCTGATCAGGCTACCGGAGCCCGAGGGCCAATCGGAGTCAGGTGCCTGCCCGTTCGACAAGGGGGTGGTTCGCCTGAGACCCGCCTAGGCGAGTTGGCGCACAGTCGGTCTGTCTCTATTCACTTGGAACGGCTTCCAAGGAATTATAGGAGTAGCGATCCCAGGTGTTGTGCTTTCAGCCCCTCAGACAGCCAGCGCTTCATGCGGCCCCGGCCATTTTTCTCAAGCCCGCCCCCGCGCGCGACGCGGGGCGAGGGCCAGCCCCCCCGAAGCGAGCGAAGGTGAGCGGGGTCGATGGGGCGATCCCCCCGCGCCCGGGCCCGCCGCGCACCCGCCCGAGCAACGACATACTCGCGTTCTTCACTAACACGCTGAGCGGGGGGCACGGCCCCGAGGGATCGGAGGCGCCCAGCGCCCCCGCGCCTCGGGGCAACTGGAAGAACCAATACCCTAGAAGAGGCGAGTGGCCAAATAGCACAAGAAAGAGAGAGAGAGAGAGAGAGGGGGGAAAAGAGAGAGAGAGAGAGAGAGGGGGGAAGGAAGAGATGGACACCAAAGGGGGGGGGGGGGGGGGAGAGAAAAAGAAAGAGAGGAGAAGAAGAGAAGAAGGGAGAGAGAGAGAGAGAGAGAGAGAGAGAGAGAGAGAGAGAGAGAGAGAGAGAGAGAGAGAGAGAGAGAGAGAGAGAGAGAGAGAGAGAGAGAGAGAGAGAGAGAGAGAGAGAGAGAGAGAGAGAGAGAGAGAGAGAAGAGAGGAGGGAGGGGGAGAGAAAAAAAAAAAAAAAAAAAAAAAAAAAAAAAAAAAAAAAAAAAAAAAAAAAAAAAAAAAAAAAAAAAAAAAAAAAAAAAACGACCCGCAACAGCTTCCCGCTCTGGGGCGAAGACCCGTTTTGGAAAACAACGCCACGATCTCGCCCCCCAACGGCCCGGGGCCGCTCCTGGGCCCGCCTCGCCTCGTGAGGAACAGACTTTCAACAGCAGCAAACTACGTTTCGCACTCCTCCTAAAGCGGCCCCGGGGGAGATGCGCAGCTCGCACTTCAGGCCGAACGTCGACTTCCTGCAGTCCAGCTCGCTTCAAATAGCGCTGCCAAGATAAAACTGGCCCAGGCGCATGCCAAAACCTGGCTGGCTCGTCACGCGCCAGGACATCGCGAGACAGAATCCCCAGCGGAATTTGAACATGAAAAGCAGCATGGATTGAACTCAAACTTGAGGTCAGCACCCATGTTCATGCACGGACGGATGACTCGGGAGACCACTGCGTAGTCGATCATCCGCCCCTCGCCCTTCTCACAAGTGAAGTCTACAATGCCGGGCCCTAGGTCACAGCCATTCGCAAGCTCGAACAATCCACAACCATGAAGAGCAAGGGGGTCATGTCTAAAGCCACCCAGCAGAATGGCAGGGGCATCCAGAATGGCAGGGGCATCCCATTGGCTTTCAATTCTAGGAAGAATCACCTCTCACCAGAACTCAAGTTGTGGGCCCCGCACGAGGCCGCCCTCCTGTTGTTTACCATATACCCCCCCTTCTGCGCGAGAGCACCCACACCTCCGTGCCAGCCGCCGCACCGGGAAGGGAGAGCTGGTTGGACATGAGGGCGCCAACCCACTTGAGAACAATCCTGCCTCACAGCTGCCACCTACTGGGGACCTCGATAATGCTCAGTAGATAAGAACAGGTCAAGCAAGCCGACAGCATGAACGATCTCGTGCTTCGCCAGCGCTGACCAGTCAGCGGCATTACATAACTTCAGGTCAAGGCACTCAGTGGACGGACTAAAGCCGGGGGGGGGCACCTCCTGGGGGACAGCGAAGCGGGCAAAATTAGAAACCCACAAACCATTGGCATTTTTAGCGAACACCTCAAGCCGCTTCGCCGCCTTCGCCTCAAATTTCTTCGAGAAGGGGGGTCTCCAGCCTCTCCAGGCCAGATGCACTGACGGACCCAGAGGGGCGCTTGCGCAGCGCCTACAGCCATCACGGTCTTCAGGGCTGAGCATTTCTTCATCATCTGCATCATCGGGAACAGCCTGTTCAGTAGCGTGTAAAGGTTACGCGCAGCAGCCTGAGCAGTCCGTAGCTTTTGCCACTCACTGAAGGGGACGCGGGTCTGGTAGGCGAGCTTGCGCAAGTAATTGTCGTCCATAGCGTGGGTGGTGAACAAGACACGTGAATCGAAGCAAGGCGCGCGGGCTTCAGCATCAGGAGCACCAAGTACAGCATGAGCACCGTGAGGCTGCGGGCCAGGTCCACCATCAGGTCGATGTACTTATCCACCATCAGAGCCGCCTGCTGCTGGGCACTCCGTAGCGCGTGCTGCAGCGGCGGCAGCCCTCTTGTCATACTTGAACCAGTTATGATTGAAATTGTTCTGCTTGTCCTTGGCACTGTTGAACCGCGCCCTGGCCTTCCCGATCTCGCCCGAGGCCTCCTGGAAAGCAGTCTCAGCCAGGGTCATCTTCTCCTTTGCCTTCGCCAGGGCCTCCTGACGTCCACTGAGGACTTGCCACACCTGCCTCTCAGCCTGCGCAGCTGCCTCCACCTCCTTCGCCAGGGTGGCGGGCTCCGCTGCCACCAAGGCGCTCATCACCAGTGGGGAGCGCAGAGGGCGGTCCAGGAGAAACTGCAGCAGCAAGTAGCCCTTGAAGGTCAGGAAACTGGGCGCGAGCAGCACGGGCTTGTTCGGTGAGCCGTTTCAGATACACTAACTGCCGCTTGCTCCATCACCAAGTCCTCCAGGAAGCCCATGGGGTTGCTCGAAAGCGAGGCACTGGGAGCCACACTTACTGCAACAGGCGTTGCCCCAGTTGGCGTACTCACAATTCCAGCATTTACTGCACACGTTGTAGTTGTAATGTTTGGCAGAAGAACTCTGGGAGCCACGAGGCCTCCAGCCACCTCCACTTTGATCACGGAAAAAACGTTGGCGAACACGCCAGCCAGCACTGCTCCACCCGCGAGGCGCCATCGCATGCACCGCTGGGGGGAGAACGGAAGCTCCTCCAGGAGCTCGCAGAAGCAAAATGGCCACCACTGCTGGCCGCGCCTGAACCGAGGTTGGAAGTTAAGGAGCAGGCCCCTTGATCCAAAATGGCTACGGGAACGAGAGGTAAGGAGAACGAGAAGGAGGAGGAGGAAACAAATGACGATTTGGACCCCTCCGCCTCATCCTCCTCCTCCACCTCATCCTCCTCATTCTTCTCCTCCCACCCCTCTGTCCAGCAAACTGCCACAGGCACCACGACGGAGAACAGCACGCAGTACGCCACCTCAACTCAAGCGCTGCGCGGAAGGGTGCAAAGTTAACGGGGGCTGGCGAGCAGGCGACCGAACAGTACTTTCACTTTATGTAAGTCCGTGTCCAAGTGGGGCTCTCTGTGTCCCCTGGGCGCTATCTGTGTCCCCAGGTTCTGTGTCCCGTTAGGGCCTCCCTGTGTCCCCTGGAGTAGAGGCGATGGCCTGTCTGCGTCCCGATGGGGGTTTCTGCACCTGTCTCACTGCGTGGCCAACTGGAGGACGAGCAATGCCATGGTTTGGACACGACGTCGTCCCCTCAGTGATGAACATTCAGCCTGGTGGCCCTGTCTGCAAGTCTGCTCTCGGCCTGTGCAGTGCCCGCGCGAGCGCCACCCGAAGCTCGGGCAGCTCCCAGCGGGGGGTCCCGAAGCCGTGGGCGACAGATCCGGCGGTGACCTCGAAATTCGCAAAGACCTCATCGCAGGGTGCCCAGACAGCGGGCGTCTCGAAAAAATCGGGACAGAATTTGTGCATCGTATTCGGCCTCTCGGAGCCCCCGCCGGGCCTCGGGACCGTCAAAAAATCGGCTTGGGGTGAAAAACCTGTCTCGGGCAAGTGGTCGGGGGCTCGGGGGCCTGTGTCTCGAGAAAACCGAGACGTCGGATGTCTGGGTCCGTCGCCACGCGGTCTTGGGGCCTCGGAGGCCCGTCGCCCGAGACATCCTCGGAGAGCAGCCCGAGCCCCAAGACCGTGCGGTGGCCTCAAAGCCCCGCCGGCACCGCACGGTGGGGTCACCACACCGTCTGGGGGCCCCCGACCCCGCGGCGCTAAAGCGTGTCCGTCGGCGCCCCAGAGGAGGCTCCCGAAACTCCCTGGGCCGAGCCCTGCGCGGGCGCCGCCCGAAATCTCGGGAAGCTCCTCCGCGGCGCTCAAACCGAGGTTGTAGCGCCCTGGAGTCTCTGTGCACGGCGGGGGGCGGGGCGCGAGGGAGAGCGACGGGGGCGGGAGCAGGACCACGGGGAAGGTGAATCGGCGGCGAGCGAGGGGGGGAAGTGAGAAGGAGAAGGCCCTCTCAGAAGGCGGCGGGGCGTCTCAGAAACCTACGGGCCTTCTGAGAATGTGTCTGTCTTCAGGGAAGGCTTAGAAAACCTTTCAGAGGGCCAGAGAACTTCCGAGCCTTCTGAGAAGGCCTGTTCCTTCTCACTTCCCCCCCAGGCTCGCCGCCGAGTGAAGAGGGCTGGCAGGGGACGGGGGGGCGGAGCAGGGTCAGCGACTCCGAAGGGTGTACAGATGGTTTGCAAAGGGTGCGGTTTGCGATCCGCACCCTGGGGGGCGGGCGCGGACCTCGACAGAGTTCTCTGCCGCGCCCCGAGGCGGTCCGACGAGGGCAACGCGGTCGCCTTGAAGCAGCCGACAGAGCCAGGGAGGCACAGTTAGGAAGCAATTCCTGCGACGTCTTCGCAAGAACGAATTAGGGCCATTGAGCCCCATTGGAGAGCCATCAAACCGGATCAGCCCAGACTAAGCCCAGGATTAAACCATATTAATAAGTACTAAGCCGAATTCGGCGGGATTAAATCATGTTAAGCGTAAGTGATCCGGATTCGACCGGTTGTCAACCACGGATATACCAGCGCCGATGCTGCATTCAACCTCCGAGGAGATACATCCCGAGGCACGGGGGGCGGGAGGGGACCGAGAGACCTGGGCATTGCAATTCTTTCATACTGGGCGTTTTCGCCTGACTTCGGGACCTGAGACAGTCACATTCCCTCCTCCATTCTCTTCTTGAACTCCTCCTCCTCCACCCTCCAAACTGGCCCCAAAACCTGTCCAAGATAGCGGACGGACCCAAATCTTGAAGCGAATCCAGCCGTGTAGACAAGGGTAGTTCACGATGCCTGAAAATTCGAACTTGCTCCCCCTCCCTATCCTCCTCGTTTTCCTCCTCCCAGTGGGCCTGCAGCCAGATGCCCACAAGCTGCTTGTTGCCGGCACCTGCGAGCGCCGCTCCTCGTCCTTCCTCCCTCTTTCCCTTTCCATGTCCCTGTTCCTCCTCATCCTCCTATTCCTCCTCCCCCTCCTCCTCCTCCTCCTCCTGCTCCTCCTCCTGCTTCTCCTCCTCCTCCTCCTCCTTCTCCTCCTCCTCCTCTTCCTCCTCCCTCCTCATGCTCCTGCTCCTTCTCTTCGTGTTCATTGCCTCCTCCTTCTCGACAACTACACTGAAAATACTACCACTGACACTCGCACTACGACCACCAGCACAGCAAGTACCTCTTTGCATACGCATGCTACCACTTGCATTGTACACCATGTCCCCTTGCAATGTCCACTCCTATGTCATCAAAGGCCTCCTCATCACTGCCATACCTCGATCTCAGCAGCGCGTTCCTTATCGTCATCATCCGCGTCCGCCCTATCATCATTCCCATCCACCGAATCAAAATTAACATCAATACCATCACCAGCATCGTGTCATCATCATCATCATCATCATCATCATCACCACCACCACCACCACCACCACCACCACCACCACCATCATCATCATCATCATCATCATCATCATCATCATCATCAGCATCATCAGCATCAGCAGCATCATCATCATCATCATCATCATCGTCGTCGTCGTCATCATCATCATCATCATCACAACCATCAGAATCATCATCATCATCATCATCATCATCTTCAAATCATCATCATCATCATCATCAGCATGACATTATCAGCATCATCATCGTCATCATTAGCAGCAGCATCATCAACAACATCAGCATTATAATCAACATCAGCAGCAGCATCATCGTTCATAATCATCATCCGCATAATCATCAGCATCATCATCGATCCTAATCATCATCATCATCATCATCATCATCAGCATCATCATCATCATCATCATCATCATCATCATCATCATCCTCAGCATCGTCATCATCAGCAGCAGCAGCACCGTCATCATCATCGTCATCATCAGAAGCAGCACCATCATCACAGCCATCGTCATCGTCACCACCACCATCATCAGCACCATCATTGTCATCATTATCATCATCGTCATCATCATCATCAGCATCATCAGCATCATCATCATCATCATCATCACCTCCTCAACCACCACCATCGTCGTCAGCATCATCACTATCATCACCATGAGCATCCCTATCATCATCATCGTCATAAACGTCATCAGTACCACGTTCTCCTACACACCTCTTGGCAGGCCATACCATAATAGACATCATCAGCATCATCGTCATCATCACGGTCATCATCAGCATCAGTATCATCGGAATCATCATTACCTCCGCCTCTACCTCCGCCTCCGCCTCCGCCTCCTCCTCCTCCTCCTCCTCCTCCTCCAACTCCTCCTCCTCCTCCTCCTCCAACTCCTCCTCCTCCTCTAGTTCCTCTAGTTCCTACCAGAAGGCGGTCCGCTCTGCAAACCAGCCTCGGCCCCAAACGGGGATCAAAACACTCCACGGCAGACCCAGGATTCGCCAGGCAAGAGACCTGGCGCGGGGGCCCCTTGGAGTCCGATCAAAACCAAAATTAAACCCTCCTCGCCGCCGCCCTCGAGACTGGGAGCGGGGGCGCTCCCCAGCGGCAGCCAGTCTGGGGCTCCCGCCCCGCACTGAGGCACTCGAGGGCGCGGCGGGCCAGGCGAGCCGCATCACGGCCCTTGCTGGCCAGCGGGACGCAGGGATCGGCCAGGAACTTTGCTTGGCGACTCCCGTGGGCCCCGCATGTTCGACAGAACACGATGCAGCCACCCGTCTGGTGGCCGCACCAGGCCACTGCTTGCACGGTTGCGGCGTCCAGACGGCGGCTCAGCTCACTCAGTTGCTCCTGCCTGGGGTGGAGCCTGGCGCCCTCCTTCGCCCTCAGGTCTGCCTCGCTGTTGCCCGCGTATGCCCGCCAAGGCACGCCTGCCACACCGGCCCTGGCCCACGAAGTGTGCGACGGCAGCCAGGTCAACGTGAAGAAGCCAGGGCCGAGGTCGTCGAGCCGCTGCCAGATCCGTCTCCACAGGTCCGCATACTTGTGGCCTGGGCCGCTGCAGCGTTCACGGCCCGCCTCCAAGCCGTCTTTGGTCCCCTTGCAGTCCGTGTAGACCGTGATGGGCGATGGGCCGACCTCCTCCAAAACTTTGCGCAGCGCGTAGAGCTCAGCATAGCCGATCTCCTGGATCCCGCCTGGCGTGAGCCCGAGGAGGCCGCCGACGGTGTTCCCGACGTCGTCTACCGCCTCGGGGTACATCGCGGACCCGTCGATGCAGATGACACCTTCGAGGAAGCCGTGCCTCGCGCTGCCTGCGCGACGGCAGAGCTCGTCCATGCCTGGGGGCGGGGCTTGGTCCAGTCCGAGGTGGACAAAGCCCCTGACCAAGCCCAGGTCGTCCTGCAGCGCCCTCCTGCCTGCGTCGGCGATCTCCTGGGAACCCATGTCGCGCGCCCAGCAGGCGATGGCGGGCCATGCGAACAGCCTGTGGTGCGCCGCGCCTGGTGCGTCGATGAACTGCCCGCGGTCGTCCCTCCAGCAGTGCCAATTCAACAGCTCCCAGCCGATGCGCTCCCGCGAGAGGCGGACCGCCCCAGCTGGCCCAGTGACCTCGCCCCAGCCGTCTGGTCTGCGCTCCAGCACCTGCTTGACGACCGCAGGGGGCCGCACGCCCAGGAAGACGGCTCGCGCCCAAGCCCTCAGCGGTAGGACGTGCGCCGCGTAGGCGGGGTCGTGCTTCCAGCCCTTGCCCTCCTGCAGGGCGAAGACGACCGTCCTGGATCTCTGGCCGATCTCGCCCTCGCTGGCCCTGCCGTTGATTGCTCTGGCTCGCTGCAGGGTCTTCGTGGGTACTCCACTGACCCTCGCTCCGTGGAGGATGGACGCCAGCCCTCCTGTCCTGAAAACCTTGGAGAGCCTCTTGGCCCCCGCCTTGCGCAAGGCCCTGCACCGCCCAGCCCTCTGGCTCAGGCGATCGATCCTCTGCCGTAGCACCCTCCACGAGGCCGACCTCGCCATAGTGAAGCCCACGCCGAGGTTCCTCGTGGCCTTCACGCGTGTGAACCTCCATCGTCTGAGCCTGTGGGCGACCCGCTTGGCGCTGTCGGAGTCGGTGCTCAGAACCTGGCCCTTCATCAAGGAGATGATGAAGCCGATGACCTCCAGGTCCCAGCAGAGGGCGCGGGTGGCCCCGACCAAGAAATGCTCCAGCTGCGCTCGCTTGGCGTAGACCGCCACCGTGATGTCGTCGACCACTAAGTATGGACGCACCCTCTGCCAGGCCGCCAGCAACGCGTCCAAAGGCTCGACCAGCACCACGCGGAGCAGCGTCGTGGCGAAGGAGCAACCCGCCAGCGGTGACAGGAACTTAAGGCCGATGTCGCCTACCAGGTCCTGCGCAGCCAGCTTGCCTATCTTGGCCTGCAGCCGCGCCAGCACGTCCAGCTCCCTCGAGACAAGGTGCGGCGCCCGCAAGCGGCGCCTGCTGGCCAGCCTCTCCCAAAGCAGCGCCGCGATCATGTGCCAGGTGCGCGCCTGCGGGGAGCCGCGGGCGCGCGTCCCCCGCCTGCTGGCTCTGATGGTGCCCTCCTGGATGCGGGCGGACTCGCCGCGGCCCGCGCACTTCATCAGGTCCTCCTGCTTCATGTCGACAAGGCCGCCCAAGTCCTCCTCCATCAGCGCCGCGAAGCTGGCGTAGAGCTCGCCCAGCGTCCGAGGCCAGCTGCCCGTGGCCCGCGGGGCCTCGAGCCCCGCAGCAGGGCCTAGCCGCTCGACCTTGGCCACGCACTCGACCGCCTCCTCGCCAGAGTGCCTCTGGCCTGCGCCGCTGACCTGCCCTGCAGGCTCGGTCTCGCTCTCCGTGGCGGCGCACGGGGGCAAGTCCAGCACGTCGCCCTTCAGGGAATGGACGACCTCTGTCCAGTCCTCGTCGTAGCACTCGCGAACTCCTCGCAGCGCCTCGGCCGACGCCGACGGTGGCAGCAGGACGGGTGGCCCTAGACCGCTCGGCAATGTCCCATGGCCGTCGGAGCTCGCCACACGAGCAGGGCAATTTATCGCAGGCTGCCCCCAACTGCCAGTCCCAGGACTTGGATCCTGGGGGGCCGCTCCCGACGGGACTGGCCCCCCAGGATCGCGCCTCTCGCCGCCTCCCTGGTCGAAGGACTCGTCCAGCATGGCGGCCTCGACGCTCTCGGGGGCCCCTCCAGGGGCGGCGTCGTCGGCCTCCCTGGCAGGCTCGGGGCCATCCTCTGACGGGCCCTGGTTGCCTGCGGCGCTGCCAGGTGCGACCGCCGCGATGGCGTCCGCCAGCTCCGAAAGCAAGCCTGTCCAGCACGGCGGCTCCCGCCTCGGCCCCTCGGGTCGCTCGGTGGGAAAGGGCCTTGGTGCCCGATGCCGCAGCGCTCTCTCAGGCTCCTTTTTGCCGTCCAGCGTCAGCTGCACTGGGTAGTGCGGGCTCAGGGCTGCGTCCAGACGCGAGACCTTCTTCACGGCTGCGCCCATGTTGCTGGAGACCACGAAGAAGTCGATCTCTGTGCCTCCTCCTATTCAGCAGGTGGTCTGCCCCGAGCTCGCCACGAAGCCCGAGACTCGATCTGGCCAGCCCCCTCTTTCGAGCTCCTGCGGCGCGCAGTTCCAGTCGCCGCCGATGATGTACTGGGCCTGCACCGCCTCGAGGTACTGTCCCAACTGCGCGAGCAGCACCCTGCTCTCGGGGTCCAGGCCGCAGGTGGTCGCAACCAGGTAGACCGAGACCGCCAGGAATCCTCCTGGCGCCACGCCCGTCTCCTGCACGAAGAGGATGTCGCCCTGCGCCTCTTCCTGCAGCCAGCGTCGCATGCTCGCCCTGGAGGTCGTGTTGGCAGAGACCAGCCTCCAGAGTGAGCCCTCGCGGGGCGCCCTGGCCCTGCGGTTCGCAGCTGCCGCCCCCGCGCTCTCGGGCGCCTCAGTGGGCCTGGTCCTCGCTCTTCTCTGCTGCCTCGGCCGCGCCT